AGATTCAAAACTCTACACTTAACAACTGAAACACTAAAGTAAATTTACACTAAAGTGTTGTCCATGAAAAAGGACAAATAAAAGAACTTATCTTGCTCTATCAGTGCAGTCGCAAGTGAAACTTGTGAAGTTAGTTTATATAGTTGATAATATATAGCGATAGAGACTCAAACATGCACGGTCACATGTAGTCATTTTTAAAGAGTTATCTATTGATTTAATTATCTGTTGAATTATTTATATTACATATGATATATAAATTAATGTTCATTTAAAATAAATGGTTTATAATTATTGTTAAACAAAAATTATTTGTGTGTGATTGATTAATAATAATATAAACCATATAATAATTAAACAAGTCATATACAATAATTATCAATAATTAATTATCATTAAAGCCAGACATTTTTTAAAACTGTATAGTGACCTTTAATTTGGAGGAACAGAAACTGGGGGAGTGACTTTTTATTTTTATTTTTTTTGCGTCAGACATGTTTCACTTTGCTCACATCTGATTGGTCCAATTTTAGTTTAAGATCTCTTTCCCAGAAAATAAGTTGGCACGCAGGTTAGCTGTGGAGTGTAAGGTACTATGGCAATGAACGCTACTAAAAGCCAAGCCACTTTCATACCCTTTCGGTACCTAAAACCCAGGATTGCAGGGCCATGCAGAGACCTTTGGAGGGGCAGGTGCTCAAAGTATAACAGGGGCACATGGAGCACGGCTTTTAAGGGCTGTACTACTTGCTGAGACGTGTATCGAAACAGATGCTTCTGTATTGATACAGCAGCAAATGCCCTGACACAGTTTTGAAAAAGAAACCGAACAGAAAAGACCATTTTAAGTTTAAAAGTTAAAGAAATTTTATTTGCACCTCTTAATCACTCTGGAATTAGGAGCGGAATTATATTAGGACTATTATTATTATTATTATTGTTATTATTATTACTGAGCTTACCGGGTATGGTGGTTTTGCTGTTGTAAACACTACTGTTGTTGTTGTAGAAAAAAATATTTCTGTCTTATTTAAAATAGAATTTTATTCTAATCCTGTTCTGAATTTATTCATTTTTTGAATAATAATGATAATAAAAACAGAATTGATAAGTATAAATCGGAGGATGAGAAAATCAGTATAAGCCTGTTTTATCAGTGTAGTGATAATTATTTTTAAGGCACTCTACGTTTTTAAAATAAATACTGTAATAATAAAAGTTCAAAGTAATAGCTTTTAGTCAGACAACATAAAGACAATACCCCTTGACACCCTTTAAACTTTTCCCAATCAAACAGCAAGAACGAAAGAGAACAGGCACCTTTGTTTATATTACTGTGTGTAGAACGTTTGCTGCTTTTTTAATATTTAATTTTAATGAATTGTAAATTCGTCCCCCGCACTTTATTCGGGCAGGTGTGTTCACGGAGAGGTTTCTAGATTTAAATCTAGATTTAAATTCAAAGAGACCGTATTGATAGTCTATGCGGAGCGTGTGCACATGAAATTGTGACATTAGTGGCGAACAGCCAATCGCATGCCTTGCAACACAGAGCAAGTGTGATTCACTTCTCGCGAGAGAGCCAGCGAGATTCAAAACTCTACACTTAACAACTGAAACACTAAAGTAAATTTACACTAAAGTGTTGTCCATGAAAAAGGACAAATAAAAGAACTTATCTTGCTCTATCAGTGCAGTCGCAAGTGAAACTTGTGAAGTTAGTTTATATAGTTGATAATATATAGCGATAGAGACTCAAACATGCACGGTCACATGTAGTCATTTTTAAAGAGTTATCTATTGATTTAATTATCTGTTGAATTATTTATATTACATATGATATATAAATTAATGTTCATTTAAAATAAATGGTTTATAATTATTGTTAAACAAAAATTATTTGTGTGTGATTGATTAATAATAATATAAACCATATAATAATTAAACAAGTCATATACAATAATTATCAATAATTAATTATCATTAAAGCCAGACATTTTTTAAAACTGTATAGTGACCTTTAATTTGGAGGAACAGAAACTGGGGGAGTGACTTTTTATTTTTATTTTTTTTGCGTCAGACATGTTTCACTTTGCTCACATCTGATTGGTCCAATTTTAGTTTAAGATCTCTTTCCCAGAAAATAAGTTGGCACGCAGGTTAGCTGTGGAGTGTAAGGTACTATGGCAATGAACGCTACTAAAAGCCAAGCCACTTTCATACCCTTTCGGTACCTAAAACCCAGGATTGCAGGGCCATGCAGAGACCTTTGGAGGGGCAGGTGCTCAAAGTATAACAGGGGCACATGGAGCACGGCTTTTAAGGGCTGTACTACTTGCTGAGACGTGTATCGAAACAGATGCTTCTGTATTGATACAGCAGCAAATGCCCTGACACAGTTTTGAAAAAGAAACCGAACAGAAAAGACCATTTTAAGTTTAAAAGTTAAAGAAATTTTATTTGCACCTCTTAATCACTCTGGAATTAGGAGCGGAATTATATTAGGACTATTATTATTATTATTATTGTTATTATTATTACTGAGCTTACCGGGTATGGTGGTTTTGCTGTTGTAAACACTACTGTTGTTGTTGTAGAAAAAAATATTTCTGTCTTATTTAAAATAGAATTTTATTCTAATCCTGTTCTGAATTTATTCATTTTTTGAATAATAATGATAATAAAAACAGAATTGATAAGTATAAATCGGAGGATGAGAAAATCAGTATAAGCCTGTTTTATCAGTGTAGTGATAATTATTTTTAAGGCACTCTACGTTTTTAAAATAAATACTGTAATAATAAAAGTTCAAAGTAATAGCTTTTAGTCAGACAACATAAAGACAATACCCCTTGACACCCTTTAAACTTTTCCCAATCAAACAGCAAGAACGAAAGAGAACAGGCACCTTTGTTTATATTACTGTGTGTAGAACGTTTGCTGCTTTTTTAATATTTAATTTTAATGAATTGTAAATTCGTCCCCCGCACTTTATTCGGGCAGGTGTGTTCACGGAGAGGTTTCTAGATTTAAATCTAGATTTAAATTCAAAGAGACCGTATTGATAGTCTATGCATGACCTGATGTTTTATTCATATCCAAATGAGAAGTGAATATCTGGATGTAGTGTGTGTTTAATTCATACTCGAAGCCGGAGGACGCTCGGGAAGAAAATCCAAAACAGATTCATAGAAGGAATCACTTATGACGTGCAGGAAATCCCTAATATGGACAAAAGCATCCTGCTATAGCTGTAGCTGAGCTGAATAAAAAGCAGAAAAAAATGTGAAGACAATAAACACATGACTGCAAAAATATATACAGTTTATGTGTGTTTTTCAAGTTATCTCCAGGTAATAAATAAACTATATGAATAATGCAGTACTGATTGACATATCATTTATTAGCCTATAGAAACTACAAAATATATTTCCTGCCTTATTCTGTGATAAAAATGGGGAAAGGTGCTCATAGTAGCCTTTATAAACCGATCATACAATTGTCATTAGGAAAATATGGAACAAAAATATTATAGCCCCTTGCTGCAGCTACCCTTACTTCCACAGGCTACAAACAGCAATATAAACAACATCTGTGCATGCTCTCTTCACGCCGTTCTTGTAAAATAATAATAATTTAATAATATAAGAATACAAGCACACCGCTCCGCTGAGAACTGCACTTGGCAGCTACGGACGTTATGACAGCATCCTGGTAGTGTGCTAAATTAAAAGTGTCTGAATGTAAGGGATCGTCCCGGATGAGATCGTCAGGTGAAAGGTCATAATTATGTGGATAATTTTATTTACGGCTAAATTATTTATTTATTATTTATTATTATTCATTAATTTTACTAATAGTTAGATTGGGCAGGCCTTCACAAAATGGCGTTTAATTAAAAAAAATAAAAAATTGTCTTGACAAAAGGGCACTTTGGGCATCAAGGGGAAAAGGGGCAGGTGCTCAAGCATCCATCGCACCCCCCTCTGCACGTGCCTGCAGGATTGGTGCAAACTAAACTAAAATGTACCTGGCTAGCCAGCTAATCCGACTTCATGGTACAGGCCCCAGATGGAGAGATGCTATGGCAGCCAACTTCTACTACTCTCAAAGAACACACAGAGTTTGTGAAGAAGACGGTCTGTGTATAACATGTATAATGATGTGTATTTTTATTTTTTATTTATGTTTTTATTTTAAAATGAGAGTGATGATGGGGAATGTAAGTGTTCAAGTACATTTGATTACTGCAATAATATCATGCACAAAATTTACAGTGTTCATGTTTCCAATCAATCAATCAATCAAGATAGCACATGTACGTCTGCATGATGTCTGTTAAAGATCTCTTGATCTGGAAAGCATCTGCTGTGGACAAACATCTAACAGACGTCTTTCAGATGTCAGTTTTACATACATTCTAAATCATAAACATCTTAAAGACATCCAGTAGACGTCTATTTGACATCTAAAAGGAAACGTCCTATAGACGTATTGCAGATGAGCAAACACTCTAAAAATACGTCTTGCAGATGTAAATGCAGACATCAAATAGACGTCTCCGAGATGTATGTGTGCTATCAGGGAGTAGACTCTGTTGTTCACATTATTATTATTATTATTATTATCATCATTTACATTAGTTAATGTAGTAGTGGTTCTATATATAGTTTCTTAACCGCTTTCACATGTATCAGGCAAATATGGCGATGTAGTTTATTACAAGACACATAACTAAAACAACAACAACAGCCCCTCATATATTTACTCACAATGCCCTAGTTCTCCTGCATAATTATGAACGCCATTGTTCAATGGAAAATCCCACTGAAACATTGTATACGCTCTTACTACCTCTTACGAGAAACATCAATGCGACCCAGCTGGTGATTTAAAGAGTGACTCTGTGAGGTCTAAAGGTTTTTGTTGGATCGTGTTGATTCAGATGCGTTATGCTGAATGGATTGTGTGGAATGCGCAAAGCATTTGCCACTCGTCTGCGGTTTAACATTTCTTGCCACAAAATCTGTCACGGCTTCGTCGTAAGACTTAGGCTGGGCTAAACGCTTGCATGGGATTCTTTGCAGTAGTGCAACAAGTTCGCATAGGGCTAGTGCAAGCCGTGAAACCAGTCTCCGCTGACACTGTCTTTCAGTGCATGAGCGCGCACCGCACCGAGACAAATTGAAATAATACATAGACTCGGTCATTCTCCTCCCGGCAGTACTGGTGATTGCACATAGTAGTCATGAGGGTTTTAGGAGCAAATAAGGGATCCCGAAACGCGGCGAAAATGGAGAACGAAACCGATCATGGCAAGCGACGGCACTGTCTTGGAGCTTCAGTGGATGTGATGCCTTTTGTGTTTTCTCTTGTGTCCTTCGCCTTTTGCTTTTTACTGAGCGTTCAGACCAGTGATATGAAGGACAGAATCGTGGATCTGGAGATTGGAAGTGGCGCGGGGGTCTTAAACCCGTTTCATGGGATCTCTATGGATCAATTTAATGCAAAGATCCAGGAGCGAGTGGACGAGCTGCTGTCACAGGTGAGTATTCCATCCACAGCTTTAATTCAAGACATTTTAGTTAACAGCATTATCAGCTTTTCTTACAAATACGAAACACTCCACACTCATGTATGACAGTGGCCAGTGCACCTTCATGTCACCTACATTCATTTAGGGCTAAGCGTTTACTTGTTTCTTTTATCTATTGATTCTGACAGCGTTCTTATGAACACTTGGTTAGAATAAGGACTGCCCGTCAAGTCTCACCACCTGAATGCAACTGTCCACCAGGTACTGCCTTTATATATATTGTTGGTTTTCACTGGTGGAATTTCACTGTTAACTATTCATTTGATATAGTATTTATTTCTTATTTAGCCTACTAGTATTTATTAGGATTCCAGTTTCCCTAGTACTCAATAAGACACTAGTACCCAATTTTTTAGACTAGTATTATTATTATTATAATTTTTTTTTAGAATTGTTGTAGTACAATTATTTATATTTATATTGTTAATCTTATTAGTAATATTTCGATTAAACTAGCCATTCTGACTAATCGTTATATATGACAGGTAAAAAAGATACAAAATGTTATAAATAAATTAATACTAGTGTCTTTAAACAAGTACTATAATCTAACAAATGAGAACTACTAGAACTGGAATACATACTATAAACTATACTACACTATAAACCAGTGTTTCTCATTACTAGTCCTTGGATCCCACCTCCCAGTATGGTTTAGATGTCGACCTATTCAACACACTAAGAAAGCAATGCTTTAAATTAGGTGTTTTAATTAGTGAGATATGAATTACATTCTGGTAGGTGGGTACCCAGTACTGGAGTTAAACACTGCCTTTGGAAATTATCTAATGAATACTTACTAGTAAAAAAAAAAAAGAAAATAAAAGAAAAAGGTAATGGTCACTATATAATTTCCTAGTAGTGATCAAAAATAAGTTTCATAAAAAAAAAATAAGTTACATAAAACATACTAGTTAAATTTGAGGAGTAAATGCTTGCCATACTAAAATTTAAGTTGCTGTTTATGAAGGGGTTATTGATGGTATGCAATGTTCACCAGAATGCAGAAGACAGGATCGAAATCAGTCTGGTTGATAGCCTAGATAAGAAGAGATGTCATCCTGAATTTGGCAAGTGATGATAATGTGAATTTAATATTCTGGAGTATGTCATTTTGGCACTCAGCGGGACAAAGCTGCTGTACTGCATGATCTAGTGCCCTATTATTATTTTCCTTAATAATGCTTTTTGCAACACAATTTTTTGTCTGATTGTAAGGCATACAAAACATAAGTGGAAAGTGTATTTTTGTCTACTTTTAAATTTTGCTGCATGACAAATGACAGATGATAGTTAATAGCTACCTGTATAACAAATACATAGTAATTTATCCTCCAACTGCAATAATTTTTTGAAAGCTCTTAATTAATTTGTTGTCTTAGTCACTTGAGATTTAAAAATGGCAACATTTTTTTTTTTTTTTAGTGCAAACAGTTTATACAATTAATGTTATGCCAGTTTCAAAGCTGAGTGAATGTCTTTGGGCTGAAACACTAAAAATACTTAATTCAACCAGCAGATGGAAACAAAAAAAATACTTGTAGTTGAGGTTCAGTAATCCAAAGTCAGGCTGAACTAACACTGAAGGTGTTAAGAGTCAGTGTAGCAGAGCAAATAAAGTGTGCTTATAGGACATGAACAGAAGACAAGCACACAGAAGATATGACTTGTAGTGTGTGCAAAATTTTCACGAAAGATACTTTTTATGACTAGTTTGACTAGTCAAACGGGTTAAAATGCATTACAACGTATTCATTCAAATTAAATTAAAGTGGCAACGTCAACAATGATCAATAGTCTATTACACAAAACCTTTTGAGAGGAAATTTGGAGGGATGTCATATTTAGTAGAAAGGAGTTACTGTCTATTCTATTCTATTCTGTTCTGTTCTATTCTATTATAAAAAAAACGAACTATGTGTACTGTGCTTGACTAACTGAGACTTGTCATGGCACTTGTATACTGTTGTTGTTCTCTCGTTGGTCTGATTGCTTTTGTTGTTCTCATTTGTAAGTCACTTTGGATAAAAGCGTCTGCTAAACGATTAAATGTAAATGTAAATGCAAGTATACAACTATAATAAGTCACAGTCTCCATCAATAGCACATTTTAAATTTTTGCCTGATGGGTGTCTGGTTTGTGCAAAAATTAAACTAGTGAAATATTGCACACCAGATGAAGTACATCAACAAAACCTGTAGCTCTCCATTAGCACTACTAATTTACAGTTTTACAGCTGAAGGAAATAACTGACTGTATTATCCTTCTTGGCTTTCAACAGTGTTGATTGCCAACTCATGCACTTCATACTTTGATGAAGGGTGTTTCTTCAAACTGCCTTATTTGTTTTATAGTCCAGGTGATATGTGAAAATAATGTTCACTTTTTCATAAAAGCATGAAACTTGGTACACTTGTATAGTTTGCGGCCCTAAACATTTTCAGAAATGGAGCCTTTGCAAAAATGCCTCGTGGTTGCCATGGTGACCATTTTACTTTCCGCCATAACCAAATGATGTATTTTGTGTTATATCTCCTGAACCAAACATGATAACATAGAAAAGGTGATGTCTACCCCTATGTTTTGATGGCCAAGTGTTACAATGATACCATAAACAGTAGGGATGTAACGGTATGAAAATTTCATATCACGATTATAGTTCATTCAGGAACGAAGTACGTGACTGTCTTTATGAATGGGTAATTGAATCATTGACTCACTAGATTCGTTTAAAAACGCAGTTCATTCATAAACGAATCACCGCTGTGTTTGAATGGCGATGCAGCGGCTCAGTTGTTACTTTTTTCGTTTTTCTTTTCGTTGATGAAATAGAGCAAAATAAGGCAATTGTGTTGTTGTCAGATACATTATCCCTTAAATGTCAACCTTAATAGTTTGAACGTTCATTCGTCTTGGCTCAAAGCCACTTGCTGCAAACTTTTCTTCGCGGAAGCTTTGCGTTAATTACAAGTGAGATAACGAAATATTTAATCTCTAATCAATATTTTTTGTCCAATTATTTGCCCAGTTAGTTTTGGTATTGAGGTAAAAGTTACCTTGCATTCGCTATATAACAGTGGGTGGTGGTCACGAAGATGATGGAGCAAATTTGATGCATTCCCCCTTTTGCAGCGACTTTCTTCTTGCAAGATCAGCAGACGGGGTGACCGTCCTTGATTAAATTGCCTTCAAGACTCTTGTAAAAGCCAAAATACGACCAGACCACCGATTTGGTCCTCTTAGATGGCTGAAAAATCTCCCGAGCGCTGTCACTGCCTTCCGCTATTTGTTCTCGTGCAACAAAAACAACAACAACAACAACACTGCATGCTGCCTCTGCGTCAGACTGATGCTGGCTGGACAGGATTTACCGCGAGTTTTCAAAATCGCAATAATCAAACACGGTTTTGACGATAATTAAATTTTAAACGATAATACTAACCGTCAGGGCATTTTATCATGGTTTATCGTAAAACCGGTAATCGTTACATCCCTAATATACAGCAACATAAACTGTTCAGGAGAAGAGTTAATGGTGAAATCAGCAATGTGAGAAGGAAATCACAGTATCTGAGCATCACAGTATCACAGCATTTACAAAAGTCCATATTATGGCTATTAATTTTTTCTCTCTTTGATAATTAACTAATAATGTATTCAATACTATATTAAAAGATTGTTTTCAAGAATACTATCATATATATTCAGAGATATATATAAAAACATCTCAGGTAAGTGTATTTTTCCTTACCTCTCAGGCAGAGTCAGGTAGGTGGTAGTGTGTTTCCAATACATTTTGTTCTCTCTCAACAATGCTCTAACATCACACGCAGATAGCAACACAATCAGGTGAACAGTTAATGGTTAATTCAGTGACTTTATGAGAAGGATTACAATGAAATCTCAAAAGATGCAGAAAGAAACTTCAAACATATTTCGTGTAAACTTAATTTACAATCACTCTCTGGGGCCAGAGTTGCATTTTATGTTGTCCACAAGGGGGAAGCCAGAGTCCTGCATGCAGGCGGGTACACACAGGTGAATCGCTAATATTTGATTTAATGGGTGGAATAATATTTAGGTTTGGTGCGGTAGCGGGCCTGACAGTGACAAGCACGGGCGGGTTGCGGGTCCAATAAACAAGACTATTTCGACTCGGTCAAGTACACGCTGAGCAATGTAGCCAATTGCGCTGCCACTGATTGACAGCTGTAGTGATTATATTAAAGGGAGCACTCTTTGTATTTAATCTATTCACGATTTGAATAAAAGTTTTAATAAATGAGTTCTTTCTACCTCATGTAGGAGATTTAATGCAGGTGCGGTTCGGGCCCCAGTTTTTATGTCAAATGGGTCCGGTATGGGATTAAATTAGTGTTGCTGTCAGATAACGTGTCAGGTGTTCTGTTAATTGCTGCAATTGTGGGAAGATCATTTCACCAGCCAGGAAAGGTGAATGAAAATGCCTCTCTGTGATGTTACCACAAGGCATCACTTACTTACAGATCTCAGGCTTCTGGAGGGAATGTAGATTTGTAAGAGTGAGGAGGAAGTAAGAGGGTGCTGAGCCTGTGGCTGTTCTGTACGCAAACATCAATGTCTTGAACTTGATACGAGCCGCAAACGGTAGCCAGTGCAGGGAGATAAAAAAAGGTGTGTAGTGGGCCCTCTTCGGCTCATGGATGACCAGTCGTGCCACTGCATTCTGAAACATTTGTCGAGGTTTGATTGCACATGATGGAAGTCCAGCTAGAAGAGCATTGCAATAGTCCAGCCTAGAAATTACAAGGGCCTGGGCAAGAAGTTGTGCAGCATGCTGTTTGGAAGAACCGATCCTCCTGATGTTGTGCAATGCAAACCTGCATGATCAAGCTGTCTTTACAATATGGTTCTTGAAGGTCAGCTGGTCACCAAAGAATAAATGTTGATGAACCTAGCAGGATGATAAAATCATGCTGTAGAGTTGGAGTGGCATGGAAAACGAGAAGCTCAGTCTTTGCCAGGTTGAGCTGCAGGTGATGTTCCTTCATCCATGCCGAGATGTTTGCCAGGCAGCCTGAGATCCATGCAACTACTATTGGATTGTTTGGTTGAAATTAATGATAGAGCTGTGTGTCAACAGCATAGCAATGGTAGGAGAAACCATATGCTTGTATAATGGGTCCCAGTGATGCAGTGTATATTGCAAAGAGGAGGGGTC